TATACAGTATATGCGGTTATTATTCTTATTGCATTTCGAAATTCTCGAATAATTAACATTAAATATTCAGTAACCTGTTAGAATAAATTCCACGAAATTTATCTGTATCACCTTACAAGGCTTATGCATAATTTATTTGTGGGCACAAACACAAGTGCCACATATTACAGGTTTGTATTGTATAAAAAAATAGCACGTATAAATTATTTTTTTCTTCTGTTATTAATATATCACAATGAAAGATCAGAATAGCATACCTGCATATACAAATAAAAAAAGTCGAAATTACATCGAAAAGTGGCACATCTTTAGAGGTTGGAATCATGGATGTAAGGTTTGTGACGAATGCAATCATCATTCACACCTATATTGCAAAACATGCAAAAAAGTAGCGAATGGAATATATAAGCGATGTGAATGTGATAATTTTCTACGTAAGGGAATCTCGAATAATTAATTAACAATAAATTAGAATTAGTTATTTGGTAATAACAATAATGATAGTTTAAATTTGTAAATCGTTATGCTGTTAATGAAAAAAACCAGTTTTTCCGTAGTTATCCTGTAGTTACCCCGTAGTTATTATGTATCAGTATCTATTATGTATCAGTATCTATTATGTATCAGTATCTATTATGTATCAGTATATCAGTATCTATTATACTATAATATAAAAAAATCCCATAGTAGTTATCCCGTAGTGTTAATTCAATCAATTAAGTCAATCATATATTGATTGCTTTCAGTGCCGAAGGCAAATTCGCAAAATAAATAAATATTTACTGCGGTAATCATGTGACGTTGTGAACTCGGTTCACATTCTCTGTAATAAATTTTTAAAACCTGTATAACGATAAAGTATCAGAATTTAAGTTTTGTAGATGACGAAAATTCATGTTTTATTTCGATAGAATAAATGATACGTAATAAGATTTTTTGCGTTTTGCTATTTGTAAATTTATAATGCGTTTTATAAATGGTACATGCATAATTTATTTGTATTACCTTATAAGCCTTAATCGTTATCGTTATGCATAATTTATTTATGTTACGGGGCACAGGTACAAACTGCCATTTTTCTAAAATAAGTACTCTAGATACGGGGTATCCTCATTTCTTAAAATCAAATTCGGTCAATCATCTTATGACACATATATTTCTAACTTTATTTTAATCAACTCCGGACCGAAACCTTATCCGCACAACATTTATTATTATTTCAGCCTCTACCGAGGCCAAAATACTTAGATGGCGTGTCAAAATTCGTACAACCTGTATAATATAGATGTTCGAATAACTTGATAAATGTGTTACGGAATAAATTGGAAAGTTATAGAAATTCTGCATGCATAATTTATTTGGTTGTTGCAGACCCCCCTTGCATTACAATAAGATCGATTCCTCAATATGATATTCAAATTTGCATAATTCAAGTTACTACGTACCAGAGCTGATCTTCAAACAGTCGTAAATAAGAAAATGCATGTATTGGTATTAGTACGTATTACGAGTTTATTAACCGAATTTAATATATTGTATAACTAATGTATAACTGATTGCTTACATATTCAAACCTTATACGTACGTAGAGAACTTGTATGCGTGTGTGGTGTGATTGTCGTAAATAATCTTTGAGTGCTCAATTTCTGTTTAAAGATAAATCAAGCAGGTTTGATGTTTGACCGGAAAAAGATATATAGGCTCGAATTAAAAAGTTCGACACATTCTAAAAATGGTTTTTCAGCATGCTCTTTTAATAACGATATTTATCGTGATGAATAACTCGAGTAATTTAAGCACAGAAAAATTGTGAAATGTTCCCAGCGAAAAGGAGTGATGATATATCATAATAAAAGATATGTGAAAATATTTATCTTCTATCTTCTCGAAAAATTACTATTTTTTTTCTAAAAAAATGCCAGAATCCGTTATAGTTGCAGTTGTGATAAAGCATTCGGCTGTTTTAAAAGGGAAGATATTAGAATGGGACACCCTTGAAATTTTAAGAAAATGCAAATTGAGATATGATCACATAGGGTGAGCTTTCTCATTAAGTATCTGTTGAGTTATCGTGTATCTGAAGTTACGCTGTCACTAGGTGTAAAATCGAGTAGAATGAAAGCTCTTCGTGGCCAACTGTTTCAACAGTTGAACGTTCTTCTATTCGTATCCGAAAAGTTTCTTCTATAATATATAGTAAAGCTGGGAGGTGGTTCCCCAGGACGAGTGATGAATAGGATACACGCTAACTATTGAAAGCACTAACCGTAGACTATTCCGGCGTACATTTCTTTAGTTGTTAATGACAATGACACATTTACTTACATATTTTATTATTGATAGGGGACCCAGCGACGGAGGTATCGACATACGTTCATGGATTTGTGACACCGATTTGATTTTCCAGTGCAAAAATTGGAGTAAATTAATAGGTTTGTTTTTTTTAGATATTATGCTAATTAATATAGTAAAGAAGATATATTAAATTACAGATGATATAGATCCCTCCGTCGTTCGTGAACTTAGAGGTGTTTTATGTGAAGAACGGCCAGGAACGATCGGTATCCTGGTGGGTCCCTGTGTAGAAGATTTTTCGAGTGATGCAGTGGATACGGCACGAACATCTAGTTATCCCATAATTTTAACCGATAAATCTCATCTCCCTATAATTCTCCTTAATCTCGCTATTGACATCAGTTTACGTAGACCTTTCGATTTTTCTTTTTATTACGACCTTATAACTAACCATTAATTTCGTCATATACACTCATGCTCTTGTCATTCTTTACATAACCATTAATTTCGTTTCTATCCTTGTTATTCCTTATATTACCATTAATTACGTTCCTATCTTTGTCATTCCTTTAATTTCAAATCTACCAAAGTGTGGTACATGGGTCACTCGAGCATTGACCTCCACATGGTGTGACTTGGATAACCAACTAACGAATGCTTGTTTTTATTTTTATTTTTGTATGTTTTAATAATTTTTAATCTAACGTATCCGATTTATTGATAAATACTAGTGTCGTGAATAGCGAAGTATCCTAAATCAAGATTAGCAAAATAACTCGAGTAATTTTAGACTGAATCTTTATTTTGTTTAAATGTGTCAATTTCTATAATGTGTTCTGTATTTATCCTGTACTTTATTTTTATTTTTTATATCAATAAAGCTGACCCTGGTGGCTGATTTCACATATATAAATGTGTTTACTTTTGCATGTGTATTTCGTGAATTTATTTTAATGTATAATTATCGATGTAAATTACGAGCATATGATCGAGAATTTTTAAAAATTTGTCCTAGTAAAAGTGGTCGGCGTGACAAATTGTCACGCGCACATATTTTTTTATTTGAAATTAAAAGCATTAACTATCAAGAAAAAAATATTTTTCAAAACGTGTACTGTAAAATTCTTTTTCCAAACGTTATATAAATTAATATCAAACATGCAAACTCAAAGAGGCGAAGAGGCAAAGTCTCGAGACTATGTCTCATCTAAAGACTTATCCGAAGTCGATTCATTAAAACTGGAAAATATTAGGCTTATGACTAGAATCGCAGAATTAGAACAAATAGTAAAAGAAAAAAACGCACTTGAGACTGAGCTAAAACAGATTATAGAAGAAAATGCTGAGAAAGCAAAGCTAAGAGATGCTGAGCTCAATGCAAGAATCATGGAACTAGAACGGTCAGCAAAAGAAAATGAAAAACGATTTGCAAAATTGGAGCAAAAGCAAAACAATAACGTAGATAGATTAGAAAATGGCGATAATTCATCCAAAAATAATGTTAATATACCCGACCTTGTTATAAAATCGTTAGAGGATAATACTCCTGCATCTGATATAACTGATGACGATTTAAGTTCTGATGTATATCAGGGGTCGAAGATTCAATGCTCCATATCATCCATTCATACAGAATCTAAATCGCCAGAAAATAAAGAGATCGAATTTCTGGATCGGGTACATAAAGAACGGATTAGTAATGAAATAAAAGAAAGGAATCGGGAAAAGAAGTTTAGATCCCAAGGTTTATCTTCGGATAATAATTCATCAGAACAGTCTAATTCATTATATAATGTAAAAACTGTTACATTGGAAACGAATTCAACGGAGGTAAGTGAGGAAGAAACAAAGCCTCGGATTTATGACTCATTAAATCTGAATATTTCAGAAATAAGCTCCGAGTCCAAGTCACCTACTAATCTATTGCCTAATCAGAAAATTCCTTATAATCAAAAAGTAGAACGAGGTTTAAGACTCGAGCTATTTATTTGCACCAAAGATAATAATCACAAGAATAATAAAGTATTTGATATTCAAATTCCTGAATTTTCTTTAGAAGCGATTTTAACAGGATCTGGTAAGGTTACGTCACAAAATATAGTTAATCTATTTAGGGTAGCAATGAAGATTCGACAAAAGGAAAGTTTGTGCTGGTATTGTTATTACAAAGCATACGAAAACCGAGTCAATGATGTTAAGACTGCAAATAATATTGATGACCAATCGGCAAGAACGATAGTGTATAATGAAATAAAATCGCTCCTTCCTGATATCACTGATGTAAACTTGCGTAAAATAACTTCCAGAGCAAAAAAAGCATATATATTATATGAAGGAATAGGAATTGATAAAATTAGTCAAATAACTTACAGCGCAAGTGCTATTTCAAGTTTAAAGGATAATCAAATTCAAAATATTATAAATGATTTTCCCAAGACAACTGATATGAGTTGCCAAAAAGTGATCGGCGTGACAAATTGTCACGCGCATATGTCAGATCTATCTAGCTCAAACGATTCATCAGCAGAGTTGGCACTGTCAAAATTACCAGAAATTGAGGTAAGTGAGGAGGCCAAGAAAACTCTACTGGAAACTGAGGCAATCCATGACCATACTTACTTTCGTAATAAGATATTGTGGAGTTATTCTGATCTATATAAAGAATTTAGTAGTGCAAAATTTGATTATTATGGAATTCATGAGGGGTCCTTATGTCTAGTATGCAAGCACAGTCATGAGGAAGGAAAAAGTGTAAAGGGTAGATACGAAGCTGGATCTTATTTTATTAAATGTGGAAAGCATGAAATCGAGATAACAGCATAAATCATAAAGACATACTGCCTTCGACAAATTCTCCGGTTTCAAATGATCGTAAATATTAACTATATTATTTTTTTAGTTACTATTTCGGGATATGCACAGAGTGTCAGCACGTAAGTATCCTTGTTATATAAGTAAGACAAAGACACGACTCATACTTAATTTGAATTTGTGATCGTATAAAACAATAACATGGATAAAGTCTTGACTCCTGAATATTCGGACTGGTATGCTAATTTAGTTGATTTACCAAGTTCTCAGACAGATAAAATTCGTTTGAGCTTATATAGAGCATATACGGAAGAGACTGGACTCGATCCTTGGATAAAGTCTGAAACTCCCGAATCCTCACAAATCGAAAAGGATGCCGAAAAAAAGATGTTATTTGTACCACAGATAAATGTTCAGCCTACACCATCCAAACTTCGATCATCAATTTCTATTCTACCTAAAGACCCGGAAGAGAAACAAAAACATGTTATTAAAATAGTATTAGAGCGATTTCCTTATTTAACTTTGAAACATAGTTTTAAATATAGTAATTATTTTGATTTTAATAGATCTGTACTCTGTCCTATATGCAACAATGATCATAAAAAAGAGAATATAAGAAATTTTATAGAGGGTGAGTGGGGAAGTGGCGAATATTGTGGTGAAAAAACTTATCGTCTCTATTGTTATAAAAATAAATATCAAAATTCAATCCAAATAGTAACCATAAAAGCATAGGTTAATAAGAAAACTCTTTTATTTCCACTAATTAATAATCGCAAATTGCATTGCAGACCCGAAGGGGCGACCCTAAAGGGTCAAAATCACGTAAAAATAAAAGATGATTAGGAGCCCAGCGGACCCCCCTTCTTTATTTAATATTTTTTGCCAGAATGGCAACATACAAATAAAATAATACAAATATGAATAAAAAATCAAAAGTCATAGTAACCACGAGGTTTTATTACTTTTGAAAATGTTATAGGGTTGATACCGGGATAATTACATAGAATTCGATAATCGAGAATTATGCCCACACCGGATAGCTCTTTTTGATCGCTTTCTGGATTGGAGTCATTAGTCTTGGGGGCATTACTATCATTGGTCTTGGGGGTATTGTTGGTCTTGGAGGTGGTACTATCGCTCATTTTTTGTACCTGAATACGAGAAAAATCATGGTAAGTAAAAATTCGTCTTTATAGATTCCGTTAAATGAAATAGCAAAATTACTTTAAAAATAAATTACGGGCAGGTAAATCAAGTAAAAATATATATGAGCAAAAATAACGTTATTGCTAACTTATCTTATGGGTGGGAACTTGCTTATTTTTA